CCTATGCAGCGCAGTGCCTCCGTGCATAGTAGTGTTTGCAGAAACACCGAAATGTGCAGCTCCCAGATAAGCGGATTTTGATGCCAGCAGTTGGGATAGCTGCCAGGTTAATTAACGCCTGTGGTACACTGAGATTACGGGTTGCTTTCATGTTCTTCCATGCTCTTCCCTTGCTCTTTGAATGTCCTCCAGACAAGGGGTGTAAGCCAGGATTCCCCACAGAGGAGAGTGGTGATCCGCTGCTCCCTGTGACAGTTGTATACTCCAGTGATAGCTGTCATTATTCTCTGGCAGCTGACTTTCTTCTTGCTTAGCATAGCATTCCCTTGTAAGGAAGACAAATACACAACACCATCTTGTTCCTTTCTTATGAAGAATTGTTTTCCATGTTAATTTGTATCAGCTTGTGTGTTTGTGGAACTGAGTCAAATGAGTTTGTTGCCCTAAAAGGGATTAGACCAATTCAGGGAGAATATGGCCATGAGTATCTGTTGAACTTGTTGGTCTGGCTTTGTATTTGGCTGTGGAAGTCACTGAAACTTTAATAGGCAGGGGTTGGGAGGACAGTGCCATATGCACATATGCTCCATAATCACCCTGACTTTCTGCTCATGTTTGAAGTACAGGATGTTGGCCAGACAAATATTATGAGGCTAATTAACATCTGATCTGCCCCAGTATAATTTCTCTTTTGTCATAAGCATCATTCCTACCTGGAAGAGGACAGTAGGCTATTGGGACAAGTGGGGTGGAAAAGTACTGCTGAAATGAGTTTTCCAAAATAAATGGCATCTTTGAAGTTTTCTGATTGCCTCTGTGGTGTGAAATGGTCTCTATTAGCATTTAAATGTTATGCTCCCAACTCGGTATCTATATTCTCCATTGAGAGTCAGGTTTGCCTAGATGGGACTGTATGAGATTCAGGACATTGTCACATTACAAAGACCATTTGTTGTAGGAGTTTTGCTAAACAGGGATATCTCTCCCGAGTTCAAAGCAGGCAGTTCACCCAGCCCTTTATGCCATGTCTGTACCATGGAGCCCTGTTCTCACTCAGTCCCTTAAGCCCTGTGACAGTTCATGGTCTCTAATCCGCTGACTGCTTGAGGAAGGATTATATTTGCCACATTCCTTATTATCTTTCTTAAGCATGCTCTAAAGGCTGCTTCTGCACACAGGATATTGGGTTGGAGGAGTTTTTCTGTGAAATACTGCTATTTGAGCTCTTCTCAATACCCGTTCTCTCAGCCTTTATCCTATTTATTCAGATTCTCTTGTGTATAACATTTTTACATTCCGGACAGTTTATGCCTGACACCAAAGAGAGTTAACAGTTTATTTCAGAGAACTCAATTACAAGCTTAAATTAAAAGGATGAAAGAGTAGCACAGATATTCTGTGCAATGCAGAGAAGAACCGGTTGGTTAGAGTCATTTCTTCCTTTAGCTTCTGCTGCCTGCACCTGGGAGATGTAGTGAAGGAGCAATTTCCTGCCATTAACTATAGGTCTTGAGGGCGGATGCACGCTGCTAGCAAACCAATTCTGCCAGTTATGTTTCAGGTCAAGTCTCTGACACCGAGTCGTAAGTTTTGAAAATTTAATAGAATACCTCATGGCCTTGGTGACTTTGTTGTGTAGGTTGGGAAAGCAACTGCATGTCAGGAGAAAAGATAGGGGTAATAGGATGGTCAGCTCCTGTTTATTGCTGTTATTGGAAAGTCTTTTATTGCCCATATCCCAGTGCTTATCATTTTAGACATCCAATGGAGGAAGCTGCAAGAGGTGACTCCTGTAAAAGGCAGTCACTCCAGAAGTAATTTTTTTGCATAGGAGCAGATAGTAGGTTTTCAGGCTTTTTTTTCAGGCTTTTTTCAGGCTATTAATTGCTTTTTAAAGCAATGATTTGAATAATTAAAAATATAGGGCAGAAAAATAAGGAAGAGAGAAAGGAACCTCAGAAACAGTGGCTGTGAGACCTTTGCAAACCAAATGTTAATCCAGACCCCTAAGCAATGTATTTCTTGCTCTAACGAAATCAAAATAGTACTATCTGAGCTTAGAAGAGCTGAGAACCTGTCCTCCTCAGAAGAAGATTTGGATAAAAGCATAACATTCCCTCCCATTAGGTAAATTCCCAATACAAGTCTAAGCACTTTTGTTTCTCATCTGTGTTATGCTGGTGTTAGTAATTGTATCGTGCTTAGTTTTCATGTTTGCCACAGAAAACAGACACACAGGCACTGGTGTTGCTGTAATGTGCCCTCTGATGCTAGTGTAGCAGATCCTTTCACCTGAAATACTTCCCATGGCTCCTTTTGTAGGCCTTTGACCTGTTTATGAGACAAGCGAAGCCCTAAGCATGCCTTTTTCTCTTCATTCATTGTAAAGGAAGTCTAGTTACATATACATCAGTAACTCAGAGTTAGTTAGTTTAGTAGTTGACAATTAGTTGTGATTGTTCCCATATAGAGGTTCCTAATACGATTTTTCCATGTTTTGCCATGTGTACTAGTTATTGTGAATAGTGGAATAGCTATTACAGAGCTTCCTAAAGAATGGGTTTGTGATAACATAATTACTGTCATATTTTAACCCCAGCTAGCAACTAAGTGCCTCAGAGCTGCTCACTTATTCTCCACCCT